ATTGCAGGCGAGTTAATTAGCACACCTGTGAGGTAAACACATTGCAGGCGAGTTAATTAGCACACCTGTGAGGTAAACACATTGCAGGCGAGTTAATTAGCACACCTGTGAGGTAAACACATTGTAGGCGAGTTAATTAGCACACCTGAGAAGTAAACACATTGTAGGCGAGTTAATTAGCACACCTGTGAGGTAAATACATTGCAGGCGAGTTAATTAGCACACCTGTGAGGTAACCACATTGCAGGCGAGTTAATTAACACACCTGTGAGGTATCCGTGTTGGAGGTAATTGAGTTAACTCACACACCTGTTAACTGCTGAGTGTGGTGAACTAAAAGGTGGGCTTGATAGTTCACACCTGTGATTGTGCAACTACAGGTCTTTAAAGAATAAAATATAGACGGTCTCATAATTAAAAATGCACGCTGTTTATCGGTGGTAGAAGTTTTTCTCGTGATAAAACCGATCGGAACTTACGCTTCCAAAGTACTTGTCTAGCAGCTCGACGTATCTGTGAATTATCTCTAATGTGATGAGCTCGTTATCCGTGTCCTCTATCGCACAGCAGAAATACAGGCTAGCGTACCTGTAAAATCACAAACAACTCGTCAGAACTGTGAAGAAAATTAGAAGAATTTTGAGTTATTATTCATCGAAAGTCGGTACGCCGTGGCACGACACCGCGACACAAACGACGCCGTTTCATCATCCGATCAAAGTAAGTATGTAGCTCACAACGTGTCGGCAGGGGGCGCGGTAATTACCTCTTGTAGACGATCTTCAGGTCTCGCCACTCGAGGAAGCTGCACATCTTGGGTTTTCGTGTGAGGATCATTGTTGTCAGCTCACGCACAATCTTCTTCTTATCCTTGTCCTGCTTCGCGACGTACCACTTCTGCAGACGCAGCTTCCCCTGCCGACTGAAGAGCAGCATGAACTGCATCTGCAACGCGACAAGAGAAGCCATGTGATGCTGCCAAACACGCAGAGAGAGAGGAGAGAGGAGAGAGAGAAGAGGAGAGCGAGAGCGAGAGCGAGAGCCGAGAGCGAGAGGAAGAGAGAGAGAGAGAGAAAGAGAGAGAGGAGAGAGAGAGAGAAGAGATAGAGAGAGAGAGAGAGAGAGAGAGAGAGAGAGAGAGCGAGAGAGAAGAGAGAGAGAGAGAAGAGAGAGAGAGAGAGAGAGTGTGTGTGTACCGTAATAATTCAGATGACATATTACATATCGATTTATTAGTAGATATTCTTAACATAGAATAATGTTATATGGAGAAATAAGCATGTACAGAGGTGGCACATAGTGTTACTGTTAGCCATTGAATCGAATAAAGTTGAAAAATGAAAAATCGGTAAAATTTTGCCTAAATCCTTGAGAGTAACCTTAAAAGTTAGAATGTCTATCCGTCCTAAACTAACAATAAGATCGCTACACCGCTATTAGATATTGACACTAATACAGAGAAGTAAAAAATGTACGTAATGGCTACTGGCACTGCCACTGTATGCAGTGACAGTGTACTGTGTGCCACGCATAACCCCAATCTGATTATTGATTAATTATGGGTTATGCATCATTGCATACACACCTAGTGAATTACTAGGCTTCTGACAAACAAAAAACAATACTAAATAATAATGACAATACCCTTACTGTGTTAAGGTGCCGTGTGGAAGAATGTAGAGGTGTTACCACCCTAATTATGGTAAAAACGAATGGAAAATAAACGCCCAAATCATGAGAGTAAAAATGAGATCACGAATCCATCACGTAAACTGCCACCTATCGGCGATTCTATGAGTCAATTTACCATTCATTATGTATTATTGCCTCATGAAACAATTATAGCATAAGATTAAAAACAAACTTATATGAATAAATTATTATTATATAGCGTCTACTATTGTTACAAGTAATAGATAATATAGATTCTAGTACAATTTTTTGGCCTTTCCAAACATCGCCATCGTGCGTAGAAAATTCCCAAACAGCCCGCCAATCAGAGTATCAAAACAACCTCACGTGATAAAAATCAACATTTCACGATTAACACTTGTGGTTGAAGACGACATTTTCTACTTGTTAATATCTGCGAGCTGTGACAAAATGACGATAATAACGAAAATTGCACCGGAGAAGAAGTTAATCAAGGAAGAGGGTGATTTTATGGAAGTCGAGCTGCCTACTGATAAGGTAATAGGAGTGCATACAGGAGGAAGGAGCTTAAACGAGCAATAAACTTAATAATAATATTATTTACAGTAACCCTGTAACTTACGCAGATTGGGTCGTTGTCGTATCAGCCGTACTACAGATATGTACCCGAGGTAGTTTTAGGTTGTTTAGTATTACGTTTATATTTTTATACGAGGTATGTTTAGCGTTACGGTTAGGGTTTGTGTTAAGGTTAGGGTTAGCTCTAGTACTAGTAGTAGCAGGAGCGTATAATGACAAATTGTTTGTCAATATTATTGTCACAAATTATTTGTCATTATACGCTGCTGGTAGTAGTATAGGAGTGTTTCATGTTGATAAACATTGACGTCATATGCGCACATGCGCAGTTTAACGGTTGGCAGCAAGCAGATGCGTGATATTGTTCGATACAAGCACACGCACGCACGTGTACGTATAGACCAATAAATTGTGCCCTAAAATTTTTTACCTGCACGTGTACCTGCACACGCGCGCACACACGGATGCACGCACGCACGTGTACGTGCACACACACGGACGCACGCACGCATGCACGCACGTGTAAGTTCACACGCACGCACGCACGCACGTGTATGTGCACACACACGGACGCACGCACGCATGCACGCACGTGTAAGTTCACACGCACGCACGCACACACGCACGTCTACATGTACATGCACACTCGCACGCACGCACGCACGTGTACGTGCACACACACGGACGCACGTACGTGTACATGCACACGCAAGCACACACTCATGCACGCACCTGTACGTGCACAGGCACGCACGCACGCAGGCACGTACGCATGCAGCACGCAGGCACGTACGCATGCAGCACGTGTACGTGCACACGCACGCATGCACGCACGTGTAGGTACACATGCACGCACGCACGCACGCATGCACGCATGCACCTTTTCATTATTTTAATTTTTAAATCATTAAAACCCAAGTTGTCCATTCAGAGCGATTAAAACATACATTACGATACCAATACAAAAACGCTAAAGCGACTATTTACATCCTTCATTGGGGCCCTGATCCCCCTCTGGCTATTTGAGACCTTGGGTTTGGTTTTGGTTTAGGGCGCAAAAGCATGCTGAAGATTTGCAAGCCCAATTATTACAGACATGGATGCGGATGTTGCATGAACAATGGGTTAACTACAAATATTAAATGAATAATGAAAAATGAAAAAAAGCCTCCTCACTTTTCAAAATATCTCGGACGGTAAACTCATACCTCAATTCTCATGGCCTAGTAGAGAACGCCGCGATGGTGTTTCTAAGACTAAATCATTTCCTCGTCGAAAAAGACCCGTGTCACAAACAGTGAAACACAGGCACTAATATGCGCAGTTTATGTAAATGGCTGCAAGTACAGGGCTATAGGCGGCGCACTGCATTTTGGGAAACTACCACGCTGCTTTCCAACTCCCATACGAGCCTCGTCAAAGCCGCCAGTGGAACGTTGCAAAAACGCTGCAGCGTTGCGGTGCAAAAATGAGGTCACGAAGAGCGCCGGTGGGTGTTTCCTGATTCTGACAGCCATTTACATAAATTGCGCAATGGGAGCAAATGCGAGAATTTCGTCAGGCTTTGTGTGATTTCGCGTGACACAGCTCGGTTACGAACACCTGTAGACCGTATGTTTTTATAACAAGTGAACACTGTTCTTCAAATAGAAGCAAAGATGGAGTAGAATGGTTGAATATTTGTGTTGTATTCGTGTGAAATCAAGCGAGCGTCGAGCGAATTTTGGCAGCACGCTTTCCTATCTGCTATATATTTATGTGTCAGTGTGCAGCGGCAGCCATGGCGGCAGCCAGCGTTTGTTACAGATGAGCATTTGGACGGCATTTGCAGGAAATTGTCGGTAATAATAGGTGAAAGAGAGTATAGAAACATTAAGACTGGTAGTAAATAGATTTCGTATTTATTTAGCATTATATTTTATTGAAACGCTCCAAGTGCCTGTGGTCACAAAGATTGCCAGTTCACCAGCCAGTACACCAGGTCAAATGTTAACTTTATCCTTTATAAGAGAATCTTTTATTCTCGTAAAGTAAATCCAGCTAGCGTTTTTCCTTTGTCCAGTATTTGTTGTTATTGTTGCAGTCGATGTATTGTAACCTGTAGCAACAGCATGGCTGTCCGACGTCGTTTTGCTCACCGACTATTTTCTCTCTACAGTCTGACGTAAGTGACCATGATGACTACCCACGCGGCATCGCCACGGTAACGGTCGTGCGAAGAAACAAATGCTACTGCGCGCTGCTGCTGCTACTCATAATTCTGATGATGTCACTCGTTGGCGGAATCTATCTGTACAAGCACATCACCGACAAGGTTGGTCACATTTCTTATCGTATATGGTAGCGTAACAGTGCACTCGTTGATAATGGGGGTGTTTACTAGCATCGTTGCCATGGATAAGATGAGGATGGGGTGTTCATTAGCATTGTTACCATGGATACGTTGATGATGCAGTGTTTACTGTGTGTGTTGCAGCATTGTTACCATGGTTACTGTGGTGATGTATAGTTTACTGTGTCTGTTGCAGCACTTACCATGGTTACTGTGGTGATGTACAATTTACTGTGTGTGTTGCAGCATCGTTACTGTGGTTACAGTGATGGTGTGGTGTTTACTGTGTGTGTTGCAGCATCGTTACCATGTTTACTGTGTATGTTGCAGCATCGTTACCGTGGTTACTGTGTCTGTTGCAGCATCGTTACCGTGGTTACTGTGTCTGTTGCAGCATCGTTACCGTGGCTGGTGCGGCGTCAGAAACACCGACTTCATAGGAGAAGGAGTGGGCCCTGCATACTTCAGGTAGGAGCTGTGTGTGCGTGCGTGCGTCTGTGCGTGCGTCCGTGCGTGCGTGTGTGCGTGCATCAGCATGGGTGGTACATGTATGCGTGAGTGAGTGTGGATGTGTTCGTGAGTGAGTGCATGAGTGAGCGTGCATGTCTTCATGAGTGCGTGCATGAGTGCATGCATGAGTGCATGCATGAGTGCGTGAGTGATTGCACGCGTACTTGAGCGTGTGATTGCATGCGTGCGTGAGTTTGCTGCGACATTAGTTGACATTGTGCTGTCGACATTTCGACAGACTGGTGAGGCTGAGATAGCTCGCGTGTTCCAGTGTTGTATGTGCGCATGGGAGCACAGCTGTTGGGTTAATGTTGCTCACTGTTGTTGTTGCGTAGGGAGGAGCTTGAGATCGGGGAGGACTACGAGAAGATAGACCTTCCACCAACAGTCGGCAACACCTTCGGACATGTGATCCATGATTTCTCGAAGGTAAAGGTTTCATGTCAGGCCTCGAAATGTCTCTATGCTGTGGTTGCCCCCCTTTACCTCTTTTCTTATCCTAAACATTGTAAGGGGTCGACAGCAATAAATTGACGCGGCTGTCCTACCTGGTTTGTCTCTGTGCTCTTACCAAAAATTTAATGTTTTGTATGTATCCCTCTTTGCCCCATGTGAACGGCATTATTAAAAAGGGAGTGGCCACAATAACCTTGATCTTGAAAGGAAGCGATGGCCTCGGGAGACCCTAGAAATTGCCGCGATGCCCTAAAATAAACGATTACACCAAAGGCAACAATTGCCTTGGCGAAAACCTCGACGTTGATCGCTGACAAACCGAGACGAGCAAGTAATTAGTGGGGAGACTAGCATAGGCTACTCTCTCGCCCGTCGCCGTGGTAACTGATTGTCGCCACGGTAACTGATTGTCGCCGCGGTAACTGATTGTCGTGCGACGTTGCAGAACATATCTGCGATTGTGGACGTGAGTGATCATCGCTGCTTCATCATGGACATGACAGACGAGCACATCAAGTGGCCGTCCACGCTGAGAGAACTCATAACCAAGTCTATGGTAGGTCACGCACACGCGCACGCACGTACGTACGTACGGCCGTCCACGCTGAGAGAATCACGTACGTACGTACGGCCGTCCACGCTGAGAGAACTCATAACCAAGTCTATGGTAGGTCACGCACACACACACGCATGTACGTACGTACGGCCGTCCACGCTGCGAGAACTCATAACCAAGTCTATGGTAGGTCACGCACGCGCACACGCACACGCACGCGCACATGTATGCTATGCATTAACTCATCGCCAAGTCTATGGTAGGTCACACAAGCACACGCGCACGCACGTACGTACGTACGGCCGTCCACGCTGCGAGAACTCATAACCAAGTCTATGGTAGGTCACACACGCACACACGCACACGTACGTACGCACACATGTATGAAGAATGCATGTATGCTATGCATTAACTCATCACCAAGTCTATGGTAGGTCACACACGCACACACGCACACGTACGTACGCACACATGTATGAAGAATGCATGTATGCTATGCATTAACTCATCACCAAGTCTATGGTAGGTCACGCACGCACACACGCACACACGCTGTGCATTTGCTCATCACCAAGTCAATGTGGTAGGTCACGCACGCGCGCGTACGCTGTGCATTCACTCGATGTGGTAGGTTACGCTCGCACACGCACGCGCGCGTACGCTGTGCATTCACTCGATGTGGTAGGTCACGCACGCACGCGCACAGGCACGCATAGAGAACGCACACGCACGCATGCCGTGCATTAACTTAACCACCAGGTTTATTGTAGGTGACGTGCATACATGAAGAACGCACGCACGCACACTACACACGAGGTAACGACGGTGGCGCCCCCTGTGCTGACGCGTTCTCTTGTTTCAGGCCGGCGACTATGAGGTGGACGCTCACTATGTTGAGGAGAACTACGCGATTGGCCAGGAGATCGTGAATCGCTCGCGACTCGGTTACGCGATCGGTACTGAGTGCTACTTCTATCGCTCCTACAAGCTGGTGAAAGTAATAGGTGCGTTACCCTCCTCACACTAACCCTTAGTTCTACCGCTCCTACAAGCTGGTGAAAGTAATAGGTGCGTTACACCCCTCACACTAACCCTTATTCCTGTAACCCTCATGTTAACCTTTACCACTATCCCCTCATCCAAACCTTGCACCTTACCCCTAACCCTTAGTTATACTGCTCCTACAAGCTGGTGAAAGTAATAGATATGTTGCTGCCCATGTAAACCTTAATCCTAACCTTACCCTAAATCTAAACACAGTTTTCGTTCCTCTAATATGGTGTATGGCTAATGATGCAGAGTTCTCCAAGAGCACTTATAGCCTGGCGGCCCGCCAGGCTATCGTCGAGCCCCGCCATCCTAAAATGCACCCGCCACTCTAAATATCATAGCCGCCATGCTAAATATCCACCATATGCGCCATTTTATGCGCCATATCCGCCATCCGCCAATATGCCGCCATGCTATAATGAAAAAGCTTGGAGAACCATGTGATGGGGTTTTATTTCCCTCCACAATAAAGCAAAAACGTGAATTTTACTTATGAAGAGGAAGCGAAGACAGCGATGATAACGACACAGCAATTCGTTTATGAACCCGCAGTAAAGTTTCGTAACCACGGAACCGGTTGCCAGGTGACCGAAGCATCGCACCGCGCAACCATGTTGACGAGATGCTCGCTAGTTGCCCTGCCCTCTGGTGGTCGCCGAGCGTCGATTTTTACCTTGCAACTTGTTTTTTTTTTTTCTGTATCAGTGGAGAAGCGCGATGCTGACGAGAATGAAGTGGAGGAGGAGGGCAACCTGAGCTTCACGTTCTACGACGGCCTGCTACGTCACATCATCATACGCGGGCTGTAGACGCATCACCGACGCACCGAGACGAGACGTGAGGAGGAGGAGGAGGAGGAGGAGGAGGTGGAGGAGGGAGCTCCCTCTATATGCGTCGGTGTATTTGTGTCGGTGTATGAATGTATTGTTTGCGCGCGTGGGTGTTTGCGCACGTATTTTTGAGATGTGTTTAGTATTTCCCTCTCTGCGATGTGTGTGTGTGTGGGTGGGTGGCTGCGTGCGTGCACGTATGTTTGTGTGCGTGTGCATGCAGTCACTCGTGTGTTTGGTGTGCAGTGTCACCTGTATCCCCTGTCACTGTGTGTGTGTGTGCATGCGTGTGCGTGCGTGCGTGCGTACATGTGTGAGTCATGCATGAGTACGCGTGATCCCTGGCCTTTCCCTCTCTCCTACACACATACACGCACGAACCGTCCTTGTGCCCCCCCCTTATAATACATCCGTGTGTGTGTGTGCGTGCATGCGTGCGTGCGTGCGTGCGTACGTGCGTGTGTACATGTGTGAGTCATGCACGAGTCTGCGTGATCCCTGGCCTTTCCCTCCCTCCCTCCCTCCTACACACATACACGCACGAACCGTCCTTGTGCCCCCCCCCTATAATACATGTAACATGTGCCCCCCATAATGTACATTAATAATGTATGTGCTTAATTTTCATTAGGGATCCGATCGCGTATATATATATATATATATGTAGCTATCGTTAAAGATGCATATTGTTTTAATTTTGAGTGTAATCTTGAGTTTGTTTTTGACTTGCGCAGCTTTCAATGGCTTACTAGTATAGGGAGCGATAGGAAAATGCACGAGACCAACATATAGCTCTCTCCAGTCAGAGAAGAGGAGGGGAGGAGAGGAGAAGGGAGGAGAGAGAAGTGGAGAGAGGAGAGAGCAGGACAGGATGGGAGAGGAGAGAGAAAAGGAAAGGAGGGGATATGAGAGAGAGAGAGAGGACAGGGAGGTAGAGCAGAGAGAAGATAAGAGGAAAGAAAGAAGAGGAAAGATGGCCTAAAGTGCAGAGCCAGCCATTGAGAGGCCTGTGAAGCGCTAGTAGCAAGTAGAGTAGAGTGGCAAGCCACATAATCAACGCTTCACCAAACTACGGCTATACATGACAACTATCGTCATTGCAGCGGGTGGGGGGTTGTAGTAAAGCAGTGTTCACTCTCTGTTTATCGCGAGTATAACGTGAACGTGTGTGGTGGATATATTATATATTTGTAGTGTTTCGGTGGTTTCTCCCGCAGTTGGTAGTCGCACATGGCGAACGAGGCCAAAGCAAAATATATGTGTGGTTACCGTTACATGCCGAAAAAAATAGGGTAGGTAGGTAGGGAAAACATTTTATTTTCTTGAAATATTTTATTTACGAACCATGTCCGAAGGATGTGCGTTGTGCCTTTTGAAGCAGAAACTGTCCCATTCATATTTTTCTTTTTTTCCCCATTTTTTTTTCTTTTTTTTTTTTACTTTAAAGAAAATTGACAATAAAATGTTTAGGCTCGCTGGGAATAAATAGGGTCGGTCGGGAAACCGTAGCCACACATATATTTCGTTTTGGCCCGAGTGGCAGCAGATTCTCAATTGGATGCCTTTCAGAATTGTGGGCATTTAGTTTCATTTAACGAGCCTGTGTGCGTGCATACACGGCCAGTGTACGTGCTTGCAAGGTGTGCATGCATGCGTGTGTGCTTGTAAGGTGTGCGTGCATGCGTGTGCACGTGCGTGGCTGGTGTGCATGCTTGTGCTGAATATTGAAATGATCCGGTGTAGCCCTCACACACCACCCTTCTTGCTGCGTCAGCGTTGCTTCAGCCCTCATGCGCATTTCCTGCATGCACTAACGCTACCTGCACGCACGCACGCACGCGCGCGCACCCTCACGCTTCCTGCGCGCACGCACGCACGCACGCACACGTGTGTATTGCCGGTGCTGGTGCTTGTCATGTGAGCAACGCGTCACACCTCACGAAGACGTTGCTACGATTCTAGTTAATCCCCCGCTACCCTCCCTTCCGCCCTCTCTCGTTTCCCCCTGGAGGATGAGAGGAAATGTACTCTACTTGGACGGAGGGGGAGGGGAGTGATAGAAGACCACGCAAGATTGTATCTTGTCCCACCTCCCGTCTCTCTCGGGGAGCCGGTAAACACACTGCTGTGAGGGGGAGGGGGGGCATTGCTGCGAAAACCTTGTCTAATACTAGTAGCTGGTTCTAACTGACCCCCCCCCCCCCCCCCCCCCCGGGGGGGGGGGGGGG